TGTGTGTGTAAGAGAGAGTGGGTGTGTGGTGTGGTGTGTGTGTGTGTGTGTAGTTTGGCCATAGCACTTCACTGCACAATGTCCAGCCACTGAGCAAACATAGGAATTGTTTGTTGTAGCAACATGAAGATATGAAGACAAATATTTATTTTGTGAGAATTATGTTAGGTGAATTCTTACAAAACCTTTCAAGAACACACTGAGCACATTCAACATTTCACTATGTTTTAAAAGAAGAGTTTTGTGCTCAAAAATGTTGTGGAATATTAATACAATTTAAAATAAGTTTTTCTTTTAAATATATTTTAAAATGTAATTTATTCCTGTGATGCGCAGCTGAATTTTCAGCATCATTACTCCAGTCTTCAGTGTCACATAATCTTCAGAAATCATACTAATATGCTGATTTGCTGCTCAAGAAACATTTCTGATTATCAAGTTTTATGGATTAATATTTTTGTAGGAACATTTTCATGACGTGTTTTTTAGTCTTATCTGTCACTTTTGATCAATTTAATGCATCCTTGCTGAATAAAACTATTAATTTATTTTTTTTAATAATTGATTTTATTATCATAATCATCATCGTAAAGTATGTGTATTTCATGGTAGTGTAGTAAATGTCTGCGACTGATCCAGTAGTGTTGTGCATCAGCTGTAGTTCAGTAGTGAGTGTGCACCGATGCTGTGTCCGCAGGTGCGGGATCTGTCGTTGGCGTACCTGCTGGTGGGGTTAACGTACCTCTATGTGGGCGTGTTGATCTTTGCTGCTTTCCCATCACCACCGCTGTCTAAAGAGTGCATTGAACCAGTAAGACCGAGCATTCCCTTCAAAGCAAGCTGTTTGAGGTGCACTCATTCATACTGACATTGTCTCGTCCTCTATCACAGAACTTTCTGGATAACTTCCCCAGCAGCGATGTGCTGGTGTTTGTAGCGAGGGCTTGTCTTCTGTTCCAGATGACCACCGTGTATCCTCTGCTGGGGTACCTGGTGCGTGTGCAGCTGATGGGGCAGCTCTTTGGGGACCATTATCCAGGGTGAGTAACAGTTGTGTATGATAATGAGCGATGAACGTGCAGCATTTGAAACGCCTACAAATCTTTAGTTTCAAATCAGTGCTTTCTTACCCAATCACGTGAGTTTTCAAACAAGGCCTAGTTACGTCACAGTTATTTTCAAACGTCTGCGGTTTAACGTTGAGGGACTTTATCTCAGTTGAAACCTTAAACCAGTATTAAAAGTATGTTTGTAAGTCAGTTTTTATCATTTGAGTGCAATTTATTTATTTTTTTCCTGCTTGTGAAAGTGTTACAAACATGTTTGTAGCACTTACAAAAATGCTATATTTAATGGTATTTACTATCTACACTTTGTAGATTACGCTTTTTAAAGACAGGACTTGCAATTGTTTTGCGGAACATTTACATTTAATCATTTAGCAGACGCTTTTATCCAAAGCCACTTACAAATGAGGACAATAGAAACAATCAAAATCAACAAAAGAGCAATGATACGCAAGTGCTCAATTATATAATAAAAAGAAAATGGATAGAATAGAAAGAGTACAGCAAGCTAGTGTTAGAGGCTTTTTTTTGCTTTTTGTTAATTGTTTAATAAATAAAAAGAAAACAAATAGATAGAATACAAAAAGAATAGAGAAGCTAGTTAGTTTTTTTTGTTTTTTTTTAAGAAAACAAGCAGTTAGTAAATGAATAGAGGGAAGAGATGTGTTTTTAGCCGATTCTTGAAGATGCTCGGACTGAGTTGGGCAGCTCATTCCAGCAGGAGGGATCATATCATCAGAAATATTTTGGCTGTAGTAGAGTATCAGTCGCTTCATAAGAGCAAATCAGTTCAATTAATCAGTGTCTCTATAGCTTTGACACATTCACTGAAACTGAATCTTTGAGTCTTCTTGACTGTAATGACTGACTGTTTGGTTGAAAATGAAATACAAGAGACTGAATATCGTCACCACTTTTGAATAGTAAAGCACATTTTCACAAATAGCTAAGATAAAATGATCACCGCACCCATGTTTTTGTCCTTCAAAGAATGAAACACTAAAACACATTTTTGAGATGTGCGTTGCACAGTATGGAATATAAGAGGAAAATTATATTATTAATTTAAGAATAAGTGGCCTTGTCCTTTTAGAAGGTGCTTTTTCATAGTTATTCATAACAACCTGTGGCATTTAAAATGCTCAAGTGCATTGATGAAAGGCTTGTTTGAGATTCAGACTGACACTGTACACTATTCCTCTTTATATTGAGCGTGTTAACCCTTCAAACTACTTATATTTGTGAAATATTTAAAATGTATTCAAATTACGTGTAGACTTCGACATTGTCCCTAAAGCCTTTGATGCATCAGTCTTCCTGTATTTGATGGCCCAATCCTGAACATCAGCTCATATTGTGGGCAATAACTGTACATGGCACTTCTCTTCCTTAAAAAGTCTGCATTTAAGCCACAGCCTCATTTATACAGAAATAGTTTTTATTGCAAAACCCCATGCTTATGCTCAACCATTTCTCAGATTGATATGCATTGGAGTTGGAAACAGTGCTTGTCATACATCATTAAATCATACAGTATGCGCAGAACACTGACTTGCCCTGTATATTTAAAGAATGATCTCAAAGGTTCGTCTGTGTAAAATGCATTGACATTATTGATGTCTCGTCTTTCCATTCCTAGTTTCCTTCATGTGTTTATTCTGAACATCCTTGTTGTGGGAGCTGGAGTCCTAATGGCCAGGTTTTACCCCAACATCGGCTCCATCATCAGGTAAGAGACCGTTTCCTGCTTCCTTTTTTAAAACAGGAACTTAGTGTGTATCCAGCAGTGCTGTGAAGGATTTGCATTGAACTCTCTCTCTGCCAGACTTCAATAATGATTCTCCATAGTTGAGTTTCCAGATTCTGTTTTTGCTGCTCTGACACAATCTAGAAATGAAGGTGACTTGCTGATGTAACAGCAGGCTTTGTAAAGGTTGGTTTCCTCTCAGGTATTCGGGGGCCCTATGTGGCTTGGCTCTGGTGTTTGTGCTTCCCTCTCTGATCCACCTGACCTCACTGAACCGCAGAGGTGAGTTACGCTGGCCCTCCGCCGTCTTCCACGGCTTCCTCGTCCTCCTCGGCGTGGCCAATCTGTTCGGCCAGTTCTTCATGTAGCACGCTGTGCCTTAAATGAACCGCACACGTCTGCGTTTACCTGATGGAAGAGGAGCTCTGTGTGTTGGGGACGGTTGGTTCCTTGGGTGCTTCTCACAGGAATGAAGTCATACAAACAATACTAATCAAGTACCCATGGATTTCATTACAAAAACTCACTCGAAGGCACAAAACGTCTTATTTTTTACATTTTAAAAGGGTTTAATTAAAGCTATGCATTTATCATATTGCTTTTAACAGCTATTATTAGCTAAAAAAATTATTTCAGCAGGAATTTAATTGTTTTTAAATGTATTTCAGAATCACTAATCATCATCATCTTGCATCAAGATTTGCTTCCTCGCTCTGAATTTGAAACGTTCAGTTGAATGCAGAGATGCTTGTTACATGAAATGAGCCGTTTTTTTAATTTTCAATACTTGAACTGTACTGAACACCAGTGAATTCTTCATAACATCACTTTTCAGTTATTCACGTTCAAAATCACAATGCAGATAAAGTCTGTGTGCAACATAAATGCAATCTGAAGGTCTTCCAGACCCAGTCCATACTGTGACATTGTATAAATGTTGTGAAATGTAACCTGCATACAGTAAGTAATGGATACATTAAGGGAATCAAAAGTCTCTAGATTTGTTTCAAGCTAAATGATTTGATGTCATTCTCCAGCTGAATCGGAGTGTACTGATGCATTCTGTGTGAGTTCATGTCACTTTATGAAATATGTGCACATCAATAAGGGAAGCTTAAATTTGCACACTTTTGTGAGAGTCCAAAGCTCAAGTCACTTTTAAGTGTTTGTAAATGCACATTTATGTCCGTTTCTGTTTTGTGTATTTTTAAGCAATTAAATTTAAATGAAATTGTGACCTCTCTGTATTAGATATAATGGATTTTAAAGTACAAATTGAACCCAGCTCAGTTAAAACCTATAAAAATCCAATATGGTGTTGGGGTTTTCCTTCATAATGGCTTCCATTCATTTAAAAAGTGCTGAATGTTTTTTTTAAGGACAATGTCAGTCAACTATATTTCATATCACAGCCAAGCACTTTTATTATAAAGTGTCAGAGGAACAAAACTACATGGTTTCAAACATATGTTGTAATTAAAAAATTTTTTAGCTTCATTGTACATATAATAATGATTTCACATCTGTGACAGCTGGTTTGTTTTAAACTGACCGGCTAGTTAAATATAGAATAAAAAGCAGAGTCCGCTTGTCATATCAGTTTCTGAAATGAATAAGGTACTCTGTCTTATAAAAATAGACTTTTCAGTTTCACTTCATGTTTTCTGAGTTTCATCTGCTCTGTTACACAAAGCAACAGTCTCATGCTTTGGGATGGAAAATTGTGGCTAAGGTTTGATTTAAACTTCAGATAAATTCAATACTTGTGAAGTGTGACGATGCCTATAAACCGAATCATGTGATGGCAGATAAGCGGACTGGCAGTGGTTATTAACGCTGATGCCGGTGTGAAGGCACAGGTTCTCCACTCTTGTGTCTGTTGTGTTCAGGTGAAGAGATCTGTGTAATCGGCTGCGGCTGCTTTCTGTCCACATGCACTCCGCAGATACTCCTCCACTCCAGACGAGCTCAGCGGCTCCACCTGGGGCCAGACAACATAGTTAAACATGGGTTAAACGCACTGTTGCCAACTTTTCAGACTACCCTGGCAACTTTATTTTCCAAAAGCACCTAGCAACAAATTTAGCTATTTTAAAAATGTAATTGGCAACCTTTGAAAAGTGACTCGAGTGATAAAAAGGCATGCATTTTTCCTCAACCACACAAAAAGAAATGAGTATTGAACAGCTAACCAGCCAAGCAGCACATCAGCTGGAAGAGAATTGGAGAGAGGTGTCTAGCAGTACGCACATCACATGTGAATCAAGTTGCTAGTTGTTTTCAATAATTGTTCATTTATGGTACACCTTAGTTAGTTTGTTCCTATAATTGTTAATCAGTTACATACACTGTTGATCTTCTCAAAAATCTGTCTGTCTGTCTATCAAAATGCAATGTGTGATTTAAAATACTGGTGAAAAATTAATAGGCTACAGAAAATTCCTTCATATTAACGGTAAACTGTGCCCTATTTTTATGGACCTTCCTTAAGAGTGCAGCCTTTAACTTACTACGAACTATAATTGTTAATAATGTCTAGTTTTACTAGTTACACTTAATTTCCAGCGATATCGTTGACTTGATTGCACAGATACGATTTGAACTGAACTGAGCTGGACGATGACGTCACTGAATCAATGATGAACTGCCTTTAACTGAAAATTGAGTGTGTAATGTTTTGCATATACTTCTTATAGGCACAAGATCAACATTAAAAAAACTTCATGATTTCTCTATTCCCACTGATAATTCTTTCATCTCCCCCTCCCTTCAGGTTAGGAGTCTGGGTGTCATCTGCGACAGCACCCTCTCTTTCACCTCCCACATTATTGATGTTACTCGGTCTGCTTACTTCCACCTTCGAAACATCAACCGTCTACGTCAGGGGTGGCGAGTCTGCAGAGTTCAGCTCCAACCCTAATTAAAACTCACCTGCCTATAGTTTCCTAGTAACCCTTCAGACCTGGATTAGCTTGTTCAGGTGTGTTTGATTAGGGTTGAAGCCTCACTCCACTGCCATTCTCGTTCACAGCCTAGTCACCTCTCGTTTAGACTACTGCAATGCCCTTCTGTTTGGCCTCCCGTATAAAACCCTCCATAAGTTACAACTGGTCCAAAACTCAGCTGCCCGTATTATCACTTGCACATCACATCACACCCATTTTACAACAGCTCCATTGGCTCCCCATCATTTACCATATTAACTACAAAATACTTCTCCTCACTCTTAAAGCCATTCATAATCTCCTCCATCCATCTCAGTCTGTTTTACTATTTACTGATTACTATTACACACTATTTCTGTCATGATTCACAGGGAGTGGGCAGCGAGGAGACACAGGATGAACTCAAAACAAACAGACTTTAATAAATAAACAGGCACACAAATCAGGCAGGATGACAACGAGGAGACCAGAAGACATTTAAATCTCCTGTGTTGATGTACTCCTGGTCTCCTCGCTCCGCGCTCCAACACAGTAGCAACGTGACAGAATACCGGACCAAAACAGTAAGTGGTGCCACTTCTCTCTGTGTTTGTTTTTCGTTTTGAAAAGTCTATTGTTTTCCTGTTTGTTTCCCCCCGAGATCATGGAAATCGCCGCTCGTTTCTCCGCCTTAGCTCGCCGAGATCTCCCCTTCTTCGAGTACGCCTGGGAATTCTGCGGGTTCGCCGCGGCAACGGCATTGGATGACACCACCATCAATTCTCTGTTCTGGCTCGGGGCCAACGACCATCGCTGCATTGACCTCCCAGACATCAAGGGACTATGCTGGAGGGAAGGGATCTGTCTGGGGAGTGTCCGGGCCCAAGCCAGAACCAGTCCACCGTCAAGCCCGCCGGCCGCGGCACTCACCAGCCCGCCGGCTGTTCCTCAGTCAAGCCCCCCGACCATGCCTTTCACCCCGAACCTAAAGGGGAATCTAAGGAGGAGAAGGCGGTCGGCTCCAGCCCCAGAGCTCGCTCCAGTGTGGGCTCCAGCCCCAGAGCTCTCTCCAGTGTCGGCTCCAACCCCAGAGCTCGCTCCAGTGTGGGCTCCAGCCCCAGAGCTCGCTCCAGTGTGGGCTCCAGCCCCAGAGCCCAGCCCGAAGAGGGCTCCTGTTCCCGAGTTTAGCCCACGGAGGGCTCCTGTCCCCGAGTTTAGCCCAGAGAAGGCTCCTGTCCCCGAGTCTAGCCCACGGAGGGCTCCTGTCCCCGAGTCTAGCCCAGTGAGGGCTCCTGTCCCCGAGTCTAGCCCAGAGAGGGTTCCAGTCCCCGTGTCTAGCACAGAAAAAGCTCCAGTTCTTCTGTCCAGCCCAAGGAGGGCTCCAGTCCCCAAGTCAAGCCCAGGGAGGGCCACAGTTCCCGAGTTTAGGCCTACAGAGGGCCTCTAAAGACGATATTCTCCCCGAGGATTGGGGGGGGCAGAGTGGCGAGGCTAAGGCCACGGAGGCCGTCCGGCCATGGCTCCCAGAGCTCTCTGCTCCGCCATGGCACCCTGGACTGCCTGATTCGCCCTGGAGGTATTCCCCGTGTCCCAGTCCTGCACCAGCCTCCAGGGCAGAGTAATCTCAGACTTGTGTTCCAGTTGTGTTGTTTTCTTCCCACAAGTTCTCCCTCGTTTTTCCTTATGCCCATATTTGGTTCTTCCTGTTCCTGTTCCTATTTAGGTTAACTTGTCCCAGGTGTTTCCAATGTTTATTATGTCATTGATTTCAGGTGTTCCTCATTGTGTCCCTCTAGTCTGTATTTAATGGTTTCCTGTTTAGAGTTCTGCGACTGGTATTGTGAATGCCTGTGGATGTGTCAACCTCTCCTGCTACGTGTTTTTTTCCTGGTTCCCTTAAAGACATTAAAATCTCCTGTGACAACTCCCGGTCTCCTCGTTCCAACACAGTAGCAACGTGACAATTTTCCTATTTAATACAGTTAAGCTGCTTTGACACAATCTGTATTGTTAAATGCGCTATATAAATAAAGGTTAAAAATTTTTTTTTTTTAGAAATGTAGAAATAATGTAATTGTTCAAAAATGTAACTTTTCAATAATTCAGAGTTGTATTTAAAAAAAATGATATTTACAAATAATATATATTAAAAGTTTATTATATTATAAATGTTTATTTTGATGAACAAATCTAAATGAACAAATTTCAAATGATATTCTTTGCTGAGATTTGAGTAATTTCAATGCATATTCTACGCAATTACTTAGTTTTGCATTATGGTTACAAAATGACATCATCATCCAATGATGTCACAAAGTCATTTAGCAACTTTTAGCAACAAATCAACATGCCTTCAGCAACTTTGCCTGAAAATGAGTTGTCAACACTGGTTAAACTGTGATTTCAGAGAGCGCACATACCAACACCCTCTCAATCCAACTCAAAACCAACATACTGTGAGATGACTGGTATAAGTTCACATATTCACCTTTTTCCTATGCCCCATGATGCTTTGCCTGAATTATGGGAGTAACTTCTGTTAAACTGTAAACCATAAACATTTTCAAAAACTGGTACAATGAGGTGACAGTCTACTTCATCCTTCAACAGACTGTGAACCCCAAAAAGCTCTATTTCTGCAGCAGTAAATATCACTGTACTAATATATGTCTGCATAAGGCCCTATACGTTGCCTTAATCAAAAATGTTAACTGGAAAATTGAATGATTTGTCATTTTGATAGGCAATAAATATTGTATTTATCTGCTTTAGAAACATTCCAGTAAACACTGCAAGTAGGAATTGGTGGTAACACTATTTTAAGGTCTAATTCTCGCTATTAACAAACCGTTAACTACGACTTTTGTCTCAATAAATTTGCTAATAGGTAGTTGTTAAGTTCAGGTATTGTGTAGGATTAGGGATGTAGAATATGCTCATGCAGAATGTGCTTTATAAACACTAATAAACAGCCAATATGTTAATAATAGGCATGCTAATAAGCAACTAGTTAATAGTGAGAACTGGTCCCTATACTAAAGTGTTACCGGATTAGAAGTGAAAAGGGAGACAATTTCATTTTAAAGCCTCCATTTGAAAACAAACGTGAGACGTGACGGTTTGGGGAGAACAACTAAATATTCTTAATGCATTCCAGATAATTATTCGTGGGATATTGTGAAAATTAAATCAGGAGAGCACAAATCTGCAGGATATGTTGTCTTCATATTGTTACAGTGGAATACAAAGAAATAAAATAATCAAGAGGAAAGGAATGCAGCGGATTGGAAAAGACACAAATGTGTAAATAACAATAATGAATAATTGTGCAGTGATTTGTGTTGGATGTGAATGTTGTACAGTATGTCTTGTGTATGGAATGTGCTCAGCGTGACCCCGGTCTGTTGAAATGTAATGACTTTATGGTCGTAACAGATCTCTGTGGGTCGTAGGAGCATCTCCTTTATTCCACATACAGTACATAATTTATGGATTCACTGCAAGTGCATTACATTTACTGTGTACAGTGTTCTCTATATTCTCTAAAATACCTATAATATAATCTATAATCATTTTAATGTGACATAAATCAGAGTTGAACATAACTGTAGAACGATTGCCACAAATCCTCAAATGTATGGAGACGTGAATATGTAGAACCAACAATCAGTTCATAATTGTAAAAACATTAAATGTGTGAAGACACCTGTGAATTAATTTATGTAAATCCAGTCACACATTTGTAAATAATAATAATTCATAAATGCACTCACTTTTCTGAACATGAATTATTACAATTTGAAATCATATTTTGTTTATGTAATAATATTATACTGTTCAGACTGCATAACTACTGTGTTATGTTATGTACTAAAATTACAAGTACATTTCAAATATGGGTCTATTACAGTCCAACCAGGCCATTTTGAGTGCTGCTGTCATTAAAGCAAAAAACGTTCATTTTCAATCATTTACGATACTAATATAATCTGTAAAGAAAAAATAGAATATTAAAATAGAAAAATGGGAAAAAGTGTGCGTTTTAGAGCTGTCCCGTGCCTATGCCAAGATCTACTACTAAAGACAACACTTAAAAGTTTTTTTTTTTTTTTTGAATGTGTGCACCTGAAGAAATAAAATGCAGAGACGCTTTGGGATTCTTCTGGACCAGATGAACCCGTTTCCTCAGGACCAGTGCGTGACGTATAGCACATTTACCTGATGATATTCCAGCAGTTCAGTGAGCGAGCTGAATCTGATCTGGTCTCCCAGCAGCATGTAGCAGTTCTCTGAAGCATCGATCAGCAGGTGCTTGATTCCCTCACTGGATCGGTAGGAAAGCACATATCCAAAGATCCTCTCGCTGACACGCACCAGGAAGAACCCAGGCTCGCCCTCGTTCAGCAGCGCCTCTGCCTGTTCACGAGATATTATACCTGCAGGGAGCATGAGAAATCCAGCAGCATTCTGACACTCAGTCTTTACGCTGTATGAATGCAGATGGCTACAGTGCAACATTTCTGACTGATTTATTTATTTATTTTGGAGAAATATTGCTAGTATTTGACAGATATTAGTGAAACAAGTGTTGGGACGGTCCTAGATGGTCAAAAAGAGTCCCACACACTGTCCAATCAGAAAACTGGCCCATCCAAAATGCTCTACAAGTTAAAGGGGTCATATGATGCGATTTAACTTTTTCCTTTCTCTTTGGAGTGTTACAAGCGCTTGGTGCATAAAGAAGATCTGTAAAGTTGCAAAGACTAAAGTCTCAAACCCAAAGAGATATTCTTTATAAAAGTTAAGAGTCAACCACGCCTACCTAAAACGGCTCGTTCTAACACGCCCCCACATGTCTGCGTCACGATGTGGGAAGATTTGCATAACGCTGCCCAATTGTTCACGCAAAGAAAGAAGGCGTCGCTTTTCAGACCGATGAGCTTTGTAAAAATCGACACGTTTCAGAAAGGTGGGGCATAGAGGAGAAACAATAATGTACAGTATGTGGAAAATAATGTGTTTTTTGAACCTTAAACCACATAAACACATTTCATTACACCAAATACACAAAATAATGTTCTTTTTAGCAACATCATATGACCCCTTAAAGGTCTAGATTTAGAAGTTAAATGAAGGAATACAGTCTTGTGGTTTTTCTCACCGTGAAACCAGGGTGCGATGCGGCTCTGGTCGCGCTGGAATCCGGCTCGGAGCGGCAGCTGTTCCTCCTTGAACCAGCGAATAATATGATCTCGACTAGACGCTGACAGCGAGCGCCGCATGCCACCCTTCCTGTCAATCACAGCATAAGAGATTACTCTCATCGAGGCCTATTTATTAAAATCCTGGGTGAACAACCATACATCACAACCCCAGAACTGAAGCTCTGTGAAAGGATTATTTAACATGATCCTTCACATAATTCATATTTGGTCTGTTAAACATCTTTTAATGTTTATAACAGGACGATGTAAATCTGAAATACTGGCAATACATTTGCACAACAGATGATGTGTTGAGGGATAGTCCTTGTGAAAACACGTAATTGCACAAACAGTCTGCAGTGCAACATTCCTCAGATGAATATGACACCTGAATGAAAAGATGTGACATACAGCTATGATAAATATACCACTATTAATAGCTATATCAAGAGAGACAGACGGCATTCCAGCAGAGTCAAAGTCCTGCATAACATTCTGATTATACAGATTATTATATTATACAGATTATTATATTTATATTGAATGCAGTGGTGGGTGAAAAAAAGATCAAAGTACAATATTTTACATCACAATACTGTAATCAATATTCTCACATCAAGATCAATATATGAGTTGCATGCATATTTTTGTAAAAAAAAAGCAGACCGACCAGCATTCAGAGCAAACCTGAATAATAAACATATTATTAATTATTCCACAATAAATCAAGCTCCATAATTTATATTCCACTAAAATCCAAACTTAGGACAAAAACAAAAAAACATTTACCACTACATTACAGGCAAGATTGATTGATTAATTTAAATTAAGAAATTAATACTTTTATTCGCAAAGAACACATTCAATTAATCAAAAGTGACAGTAAAACCATTTATAATGGTACAAAAGATTCCTGTTTCAAATAAATGCTGTTCTTTTGAACATTTTGTTAATTAAAGAATCCTAATAAAAAATGTCTTTCAAAATATGCAGCCTTGGTGACTTAAAAACATTTTAAAACACTCTTACAGACCCCAGACTTCTGAATGATGGTGTTTATACTAAATATAAAGAATATTGATATGATGTCTTACCGACATGTTCTTTCCCACAACTATTCAAATATCCTCAATACTGCCTGGTTTCATTGTGTTTACATGCACATGAATTTAAGCCAAAATTCTATTTTTTTAATCTAAATAAGATGACTGACATAATCTAAAATATACAGACACTTTATTCACTTTTCAATTATATTTGCATGTGCAAATGAAATGGAAAGCATTTCTGGAGTGAGGAGAACGATTCCATACAAGCATTAAAGGAAATGAACGTAAATCAGTATACAGATGGGTGAAAGAGTCCCATGACCTACATTTGGCTTTTGATCGCACCTTCAGTGTCATAATTACACAATTACAACAAAAGAACTCAAATAAATGTCAAGAGCAAGCCTTTCCAGTATTTCCACAAGAGAACAGAAGGAAAAGAAGACGTTCACGAGGAATACGCTGATTACAACAATAGCATATCAACTTTTTCAGAATAAATCTGACCATTTTTTTGACCAAGTGATGTGCATGTAAACGTGGCCATTATGATTGATGATTACGATCTTTCAAACCACCAGCCCTTCTTTATTCTTCAGTTACTGCCACACGAATGAAGGACGCTGGCTCTGATGTGCAGCGTATCACGTGACTCACCGGCTGATAGCACTGCTGGTGTTGCTGGTGTTTCTGGGTTTGGGTACAGGGGCTGGATTCGTGCTGCCGAAGGCCTTTGTCATGGCCGCTACACGTCCTCTTTCCAGAGCTTTAACTGAGCGCCTGCGGTGGTCCTCGATAGTCTGCTTGGCCAGAGATCGTCTGCGCACGTCTGCAGCTTTTGACTTCTGCACTGGAACCACATATGCAAAATCACACCGGTTATGCCTGTTATTTATGCATGACTAAAAAAAATACCAGCACAAACAGAACCACAGAGAACAAAACATCCCTTCTCATGTGTCAGCTCCTCTCCAAGTAGTTGTTCTTTATTTGTGTAATTCTCAATGTTCTCAGTGATGATTTTCAGTAGGTTCTTATTATTGTAATGCAGAAAAAATGCAGGTCCAATTCTCACTATTAACTAACTATTAACTGAATTTTGCCCCAATAATAACTCCTAATGTGTTTTTTATTAATAGTTAGTAAGGTAGTTGTTAGGTTGTATGGGGTGGATTAAGGGATCTAGAATATGATCATGCAGAATAAAGCTGCGTCCCAAATGACGCACTCATACACTATGTACTCAACGATGTAGTGTATGAATTATATAATGTTATTCTGTCATTCATAATCGGAGTCTCATAGCTCCTCCCCCTTCACTACGTAATTAAAGCTGCGACAGTTGAGTGCATGAAGTGTCCAACATTCCACACTTCATTTTTTCGGTTATTTAAGTGCATCATCCGGGTATTTAAAGTGCACTTTTTCTTTTTGGAATTTTCAGTGTGAACACACTACTCGCACTATTTATACTATAGTGCATAAGTACGCGATTTGGGACACACCTTATGACATTTATAAGCAGGCTACTAATAAACAGCTAATATGCTAGTAATATGCGTGCTAGTTAAGACTGAGAATTGGTCCTTAAAATAAAGTGTTACCCAATAATATATTCATATTTAAGGTTTAATGTATGCATAATTTCAGTTTCATGTTTTATGCTGATTTAAATACTTTTTTTTACTGTGATACAATAAAACATATGACTGTACTACTGTAATGAGAATAAACCTAGGCAATAATGAGAATTATTCTCAAAAATGTTTTTTGTGCTATCAAATCAATTAATCGTGATTAACGCATCCAAAATATAAGTTTGCCTTTACATAATATATGTGTGTGTACTGTGTATATTTATATGTATATATGAATACACACACATACAACACAAACCTTTATTTCGGATGCGATTAATCGATTTGCCAGTATTAATTTTTTCTTGTTACTGATTACAAAATGGTCTCATAATAGACTTAATTTTATAAAGTTTATAATTTTTTCCTTTTGGTTTTCGGGTAATATGTCACTTTCTGCCTTAACCTCCTGAGACCCTGCATCCTCATACGAGGACATTATATTTTAGTGAATTTCTCTGAGACGTTACATGTCACAGTCTCCTGTACAGAGCACATTCAGGGCTTTTCAGAGATACTAAATGTTGGGATGTTTCACCGTGACCACCCCCTCTCCTTGGTCTTCAAAAATGTCTGATATTAATTTAGTGACACTCTTATGGAAATATGATAATATTTTGTAATTATCATTTAAATCTGACTAATTTTTAAACTGTGTGTCATAAATCAACATCTCAGGAAAATGTTACGGGGTTTCAAATCAAAATATGACTTTCTGTTACGAAACTGGACATTGATTTCATACATGTCCTCATATGAGGATGCCGGGACTAAAAGCATGTTTATTACGCATTTTGGGAGACACAACAAATGAATAGGGAAACAAATTATATTTCAATATTCCTATGAAATATTATATATTATTATGAAAATCTTGTCAATTATTACTCCCATTATTAAATTTTTTTTTCATTACATGTTGCCCCAAAAACACATGAATATGCAAATTAGATTTAGTGTGTAGATACATTATATATAATGAGAAAAGCTGTTTATGGCCATTTTACACACATTTTGCAGAAAGAAAAATGGTATATCAAATCATTCTGTTATAATATAGTTGAGAATTATCTTTATACAAAATTTGGTTAAAAAAAAAAATCCTGAAAACTAAAAATGTATTGGTGATTTAAAAGAAATCAATTGTTTTTGACTATGCATGTTCATTCATGTCTTTTTATTTTTATTTTTTTTAATTGAGTCCCGATGTCCTCTTCCAAGGACGTAGCATAACTTATGAATGAAATATCATTTTTAAAAATGTTTTTTACATTTTTTTTAATGCTCTAAACAATGTAATGACATGAAAAAATACCAATTTTTTCCTAAAACATTTTAAGAGGATAAGAACGTGTTTTTGTGAGATTCACTCTATTTCTCATAAATATACTTCTTAAGTTCTAATTAGTAATTGATGAACTGTGTAGACTGTATGGTTGCAGTTTTCTTTACATGTCTTCTGCCACTCCTGGTCCTCCTCCTCACGAGTGTGTTTACTGCCCTGCACCTCCTTCAGGCTGATGTAAATCTGCTGTTTCCTCTCCTGCTCCAGCCTCCTCAGCTCCTCCTCAGCCTTACGCCACTCCTCCAACTCCAGTTTCTGACAAAGAACAAGCCTCCAGGTCAGGACAGACCCAAACCATGTGTTTAAAACCAAAGACGAGATGGGGAGCACCTTGAGTTCCTCCTCCTGAACCTCCTGCTCTGACAACACAACCTGCTCCGGTTCGAGATACAGGCCAGAAAAGCGCTTCTCCAGCTCAGCCTCTTTCTTAGCCCTGTACGTGAAAACACAAAAACATGCAGGCCACCTGCATAGGTTATTAGAGTTATTGGAAGTCATTAATTATTCACAGAACTGAACAGGAAATAGTTGCTCTGAGGCAAGACTGTGAATGTCAACGAGAACACTCATACTAATATGACAGGTAAATTCCTTCACTAGACACAAGTGTTCATGTTCACACAAGGCAAAAAAGAAATTCCTTGTGCTTACTGTCGAGTACATACTCTTTAAAAAAGGTATGAGCCAAACAAGCTTTTCTGTGTTTTCCATGATATGAAAATCAGGCAGCTATCAATTTGTGTGTTGGATATAGTGTGTTGAAGCCCATATTTCATACTGCGGTAGTTTAATGTTGTACATAATAAAGTTAACTAATAGTTATGCGGCTTTGGATAACAGCAGGCATTTACCTGATCACCTTTTATTCAACAGATGCCACTTCAGTTACTTTGAACATAGACGTTTTGCCCTTTAGTTCAGTGCGGTTATCTACAACACATATTGCATCATGGAAATACTGGCCATTTGGTTTGCTTGCACTGATATACACCCAAACAGGCACTGATTATTATAATCCTACATCAGAAATGCCTCTAAAAACAGTAACTAATATTCATTTTAACTTCTGTCCAGTAGTCCTATTGAAAAGAACAAGCGCATGAGGAGGAAGTGGCATTAGGAGCACAGTATTAGCACACAAGCGCTGTGGTGACAACATTCCCGTAAACTGGTGAAATATTTAACTAGTGTTGACCGAATGGATCACTTTGGAGTTTATGCCAAGCAATACATTTTCAGAGTCAAAGAACAATTATAGTGCTATTGCCGAGTTTAATTGGGTTAACTCTCAAAAACTAAAACATGTTGGTTAACTGAAATAAAGTTAAAATAAAATATAATTATTAAATGAAAAACTTTAACTTAACACAAATGAGAAATGTTGCCTTGGCAACTAACTGAAATAAGTTTCAAGCTGAAGCGCTAAAATGACTAACTGGTAATAAAAAACGAACTAAACTTAACTAAAACTAAATTAATAAATTAATTAAACCTACATAGTAATATGACAAAAAAATACAGAACTTGCATACTCAAAACAATTATAGGGGCGATGGAGTTTAATGAGCAACATTTTGATCAATCGACCTTCCTCAGGCTAAAATTTCTGTGATGATGCAAACTTGAGTGGTATGCGGGACTAATAAAAAATAAAAAAGTCAGTAAAAATTAAACTGAAAAGCTTAAATAGAGCTGCGCCATTACAGCTCGTACCTGCTAAAAACATCTGTTATGGTTCTGATTATCATGTTTATCGCGCTGAAATCATGCGTTTAAACAGTATGAATTTAAACTTCTGATATACAGTTTTCTGAGAGCACACATCTGAAGCACACGCACAGAAAGCAGCTGTCAATATAATTGTGATTGCATTACATGAATGTAGCTGTGAGTATGACTGGTGCAGTTTTACCTGAGCTTCTCGGCCTCTCTCTGAGCCTGCAGGGCTGCTCTCTCGGCCATGACCCCATCACAGATCTGATCGTAGGGTTTGTCTTCAGGATGTTCTCCCATCACCCAAACCCACACATCGTCATCCAGACCCTTCATCCACGACACAGTCTTTCCCCAAACTGCACAACATTCACAATGATGACTTTGATTTTGTGGCACTGAATGCCTGTTAAATATCTAAGATTAGATTTATATAGCATAAAGCAATGTTGGGTTGACTTTGTCTCTCTGAGGCTACAAGAAGAGTGTCACCCAAAGTGTCACAAATGAGATTTTGTTAAAGCCAACATGAATTGTTGGTCGCAACCCATTTTGCTTACACAACAAGACATAAGTTTGGGAAACAGGATATTTTTGGGGAAAAAAATTGAGTAGGACTTGATTATATCGATTGGGAATTGATTGGATAAAAAAGACTGAATGAGACACTGAATGCCTATTATTTAACATTATGCAATAATGCTAGAGGAGGAACAAGCTATTAAGTTTCTTTGAAATAAAACATGCATCAACATATCATTAAGAAAGACCTTAAATGTGCATTTAAAAAAGTAAAAAATGTCAATTCTGATTTCATGTTGACTGTAATAGTGCTATTGTGTCTTTTGGACAAATTTACTACCTGTACAAGCTTTGTACAAGCTTGGTGAAATCCAGAAAGCCATACATTTGTGACAGATCCTCTGCCCTGTATATTCACACCTTTTTTTACTTTAACACGTGCAGCTTCCTCCTCCTCCAGCTGCGTCTCTCTCTCTCTCCATCTCCGGATCTGTTCTTCTCTCATCTTAAAGAACAGAATCTGTTTCTGTTCCTCATTCAGCTCGGCCAGCAGCTCCGGCTGGATGTACATGTCAGCCAATATCTGCTGCAGCATCTTCACGCCTCAGGAGCAGAGCTCAAACACCTTCAGCAGAAGGGAATATCCCTCTCTTTGTCTCTGGTGGTTTGGACTGTGAAAAAAACAACAACAACAACAAAACAGAACCATTTAGCCATACAAAAGAAGGAACACAAAAAGATATTTTTGGTTTTGGGTCCCATTGACTTCCATAGTATGGACCAAAAAACAACAGCATAAACATTGAGACATTTCTCAACATATCTTCTATTATGTTCCACAGAAGAAAGTAGGCCTAAGTCATACAGAGTAAATGATGACCATTGTTGACATTTTGGGTGAACTATCCAGGTCCCTTTACTTGTATTACTAGACAAATAAAAAAACAGAAAACAAATAAAAATGCTTAATAGGCTACCACAATAGCTATTAAACTATAAAATGGCATTCATGTTAAAATAATAAATACAAATAAAATAAAACATTTCTTTTTTTCATAGATATACAGTATGAGGGAAAAAATTGCATTAAAATGTAAACTACAGGGATGTGACACGCATTTACTGATTGTCGCTACTGATATTTGAAGAAACTCACAGAAATCTGATGTCAGTACAGTTAATACGAATGTAAACAAGGAACAGGAAGCAGGACAAAGAGCTGTCAATCAATCCCACATCAAAACCAGTAACCTATGACACACACACACTTACCGCTGTAGTAACGCTTCACACACTCATTCCTCGCTCGAAGATCAGTGCAGCACATCTGCGGTGTCTATAAAGAATCCAGATGAATTTGATAGATTAGTAATCTTGAGTATGAAGCTTCATGTCTGACTGAACACCTGAAGCCTGCACAGAAAGGTAAATGTCGAGTGAAATCTGTGGTCATGTACACACCCTTTAACTCTCAGCCCACGCCGAGTTCCCTCCTACACTCGCTTCTTCCTCCGGCTCCGTGTGAAAGATCATCGAAGCTGCTTTATATGCAGCTCTGTTCATATTCGTTTGCATTATCAGCGATATTAATATTAGACCTGCGCGGGATCTCCAGTACACATAGCCCCGTCAGTCACACATCTCTACATCTTGCTTAAGAAGATACTTGAAATAATCTGACCATGAAATTAAACCAATAAACGCATGAAAGATTATAACATACATATATAGGGCGTGGCCATGTCTCACACATTTGGCTATGATTTACATATTGTTTATTTCAGCATCGATAAACAGAAGTGTTTTGATTTGTGAAAGTTATGACAAACAACATGCACTAGGTGGCGCACTTGTCACAAACCGCCACTGAAACTAATATGGGTTCGTATTTCTTGCTGTGTGCAATTTGAAAAATTAGGCCATTTTTGAACTTTACCTTTCAGATAGGCCTATGCAAAGCGCTCACACACACACACAAACACACACACACACACACACTCTCTCTCTCTCACACACCACACTCTCTCTCTCTCTCACACACACACACACACACACACACACACTCTCTCTCTCTCATCTCTCAAC